ATGTGTGCAAAATGTTAGCCTTCAATCTCAATTCATTCGAAAGATAGTGTGATTACAACAGACAGACAGACGGACATAGCTAAATCATCTTCGAATTTTATGCTGATCCAGAATATGTATACTTTGTAGGGTCTATCATGAATATTTCGAGGAGCAACAAACGGAATGTCACAGCTAATATACCCTCCATAGAATGGTGGAGGGTATACACATTATGACTCAATTTGTTCTATATAGTGTGAAGTGCAAGGAATGCAATTAAACACAGAACCCAACATTTTGTTATTTAAACTTCATAGAAAACATAAAAATCCATTTAATTAGCAATGTAGCAACCAAACAACATTGTATTGTTGTATTTACAACTTCCGATAAGAAACTATGAGGAGTGACACGATAATCCACATGATGTAACACTAAGCTATATTTCTTAACAAAATTCGCACATTCAGTGGCAAATTAAAAAATTTGCAATATATGAAAACTGCAAATTTAATTCGGCCCAATCTCCGGTAATGTTAATAGTTAATAGTACTATTTTCCAAGAAGAGACAGAAAGAGCAAGGGTAAGGTAGATCGCTCTTAAGCTACAAAGATTATACGTGGTGTATGTCAACAACAGAAAATACCAACATTATATTTATAATGCGTTTATATCTCAGCTAATGGCGTAAATTTAATTAGTTTCGGTAGTGACAACGGCTATGCACTTGCCCAGCTATGTGGTTGTTGTTGCTGTTTTTATAAGCGTTACTTACAAAATATTATCTGGCGGGAAAAAATGAAGTAAGGCAAAAAAAAAACTCCAATAAAACGCAGTCACTTGTGGACTTCCTTTCGCTATTTTTTGCTGAGTTTTATTTTTGCCAGCAAATGTTTTTGGCATTGGCAGACAGACAGACAGACACACAAGCCGACAAGTGTTTGAGTAGTATCCCCGGCAATGCAATGTTCCACAGAAACATTGTGAAGCAACATTTTGCCACAATTATGTTGCTAATAAATAAACAACTTTATTTAAAATGTATTGTTTTTTATTTTCATTTACTGACCGACAGGCTGGGGATATGGTTGAAGTTTTGATGAAGTGGAAAATTATGATTGACCATAATTTTAGGCATTAAGATATTTTTGCTTGCACATCGAGAAAATCCGGAAACTATAGTGATTAGCTGCAATTGAGGTATGGGGTATTAATGTTTTGCATAATTTAAATAAATCAATTTTTTCTCAAGACCATGAAATTTAGTTTGGGATATAACTTTCGTTGTTTCGAGAGACAGTGGAGAAATACTCCTATAGACAAATAGAAAAAATCAAAAAAAGTGGTTTAATATAAATGTGAAACAATTCCGATGAAAAATCGGAATCGGAAAACACCGATGACCGGGATTTATCATTAAAGCTGTCCACAAACTGTAAATTTACAGCAAATTCTGTTGGGGACTATGACTAAACCTCCAAAAAAAAAAAAAAAAAAAAAAAAAAAAAAAAAAAAAAAAAAAAAAAAAAAAAAACTTAATGAGGGTGATGTTATTAAAAGCGGCTATACCAAAACGTGAGCCGTTTTCAATACGAAAAATTATACGGTCTATATATTTTTACAATTCTAACAACCTATAGACGGACAGACAGGCACACGGAAATATGTTTAATACATGAAAATATAAAGGGCCTTTTCATATTAGTGTCCTATTGGACACTAATGTACCTTGGAGTTCCCTATTTGAGAACATTTCTCTTTGGAGGAAAAAGGAGGATATAGAAGCTAAATGAAACAAGTAAAAAAGTAGTAGATTCGGCCGGACCGAAATTTTTATACAATCCACCATGATATATACAAAGCCACAATGAAGACCTAAATCAACAATTTTTTTGTAAGGCAACCATTAAAGACTTCAATTACAAAATTTCAGACAGTACCGTTGTACAAAGTAGGGAAAGTCTTCGTAAATCTACTTAGAAAGGACAAAATGAACACAATGGCTTTTTTAAAAATTGTGACTACAAACCTATCCCCAGATATAATTTTGTAGAAGCTAGTACATTTTAAAGATCTTTAGAATCTAATGACGGAGGTGCTGGATCCCATTTTTTTGGATTCAACAATAAGACTAGCAGCACGGAAGCAACCCTTCATTATATTTTGGATCATATATTCGTTCGATAAACATCTCCACATTAAGTTAAAAATCTTGCAAACCACAATCAACGGCATACTCGCACTGAAAGACCGACAACAATCTATGTCCAAAGACCTATAGGGAACTGGCATCAATGTTCCCAGAATTATATTTACGGTACGACCTTGTCTACCCGCACACTAAGACTGGAGGCCCAAAACGTTACAAAAAGACTACAGACTACAATTAAAAAGACCACAGTCCAAGCTAAGCATTGCATCTAAAAAAATGCCACAATTAATTACGACATTATCTTTTACAAAGTCACTATTACCAAAACTCGAGAGGTAAAAATTAAGCCGTATATATTCATCAAAGTACACAAGTAAACAAACGCAAACATGTACATACTGGGTTCATGTTCAAGTCGTCCGCGCAAGCCACAGCTATCTGCTAGCCGGCAGCACTTGGGGTGCGGACAAGGAAACCTTGTTGACCTCTTATAACGCGATAGGTCGGTCTGTGGTCTGCTATGCGGCTCCAGTGTGGTCTGCGAACGCTAGTGCTACGCAGTGGAAGCACATCCAGATAACATCAGTGGACCACTTACATGAGGAGGCGAAAGTCCTTATGTCAGCATTCGTTACAGTACCAGCTTGGGTGCTACTGTGAGAGTCACCCCAACCATCATATGGTGGGTACAACTCCCCCACCCAGGAGTGTCAGGGAGGACATACACGATCTAGAGAGGGAGGTCCAACCCTATAAGAGAGAACCTCTAGATCAAGAAGCCTATCAGGTAGGTCTGATTGGCATTCATACCGATGCTCTGGCTACAGCCCGTTAAAGTAGCCGAAATTTTAGGTTGGACCAGATTAGCAGAACGCAAATACTTACATGTATTACTGCTACAACAACAACAACCAGAAAGTAAAATCCAGAAATAAAGTTCTCAAAGCACTTGCTAGCACCTCCTGGAGCACTAATAAAGGAACTTTGGTAGCGACATACAAGGCCATAAATATATATACGTCCTTAACTATGCTTCTCCGATCTGGACTTCATTCTTGTATAATACTGAGTGGAAAAATCTGTAAACGTCGCAGAACAACGCACGGCGAGATGTTAAGGGTTGTGTCCAAATAATAAGTGTGTATCACCTCCCTTAGGATACCAGGGAGCTGTCAGTCAGGCTACTGCGTCCCAGCCACAATACAATGATTGAAAATTCACCTCCCCGACACAAACGTTAGATGCTATCCGAAATCTATTTAAGACGCCATTTCATCGGACGTCAATAGATCGTCGATAGCATTGCATCAATGGGTTGTATTCGAAGCCATAAACGGCTATCGTGCAGGTCTTTAGGTATTCGGTGAATCTAGTACGAACTCTTTTGAGGATTACCTCACATTGCGCAATCAAATTGTGGTTAATTGACCTCACACTTATTGCTTCTTGTTAATAACGTCACATGATTTGAAGTCTCGTCACCGATACTGGGTTAAGCTCTAGATTGTCACGTTGTAAACTTTCCGGTTGATAGAATAGTAGAATCATTCAAAACAATATTTACGTCGACTAATTTAGTTATTTCTAACTTATATTATTCCCAATGCACTTCCCGGGGACGAGATTGAGAGGAATACAGAAAATGTTCACACAGGCAAAAACCCCATACCTCACACATTTTTTTATAATAATTTTTCACAAATCACAAAAAGACTTTTGTTAGAAGGCATATATTCACCAACAAATGTGGACAGATCTATTCCCACTCTGTCCATAATTCTCGTTGGTAAAAGGTTAAAACTCTCTTTTTTTGAAATTCATCAATGTAACAATTATGTTTAACTTAAATCAAAGGCCCTTATAAAGGGCCTTTTCATATTAGTGTCCTATTGGACACTTATGTACCTTGGAGTTCTCTATTTGAGAACATTTCTCTTTGGAGGAAAAAGGAGGATATAGAAGCCAAATGAAACAAGTAAAAAAGTAGTAGAATCGGCCGGGCCGAAATTTTTACACAATCCACAATGATATATACAAAGCCACAATGAAGACCTATATCAACAATTTTTTTTGTAAGGCAACCATTAAAGACGTCAAATAGAAAATTTCAGACAGTTCCGTTGTACAAATTAGGGAAAGTCTTCGTAATACCGATTACAGGGAGATACCGTTATATGAGACATATACCACAATATGGATCCATATTAACTGTTTTGCAAGATGGTTAGGAACCCGTAACAACCTTTTAAAACAAAATTCAACACAATTCCGTTGGAATTCCGTTGGAATAATAGTATATCGGTGGTTTTATAGTCAGGGAACCATCTACAGGCAATTCATAGGACTTTTCATTCCCTAACATGATCTCTGCTTCAACACACTACTCATAATATTAGTGTATTTTATGTCACATTCGTGCACAGTACCAATCACATCATCAACTTTGTTAGCTTGTCTTACTGAAAATGTTGAATAAAACTACATACAGAACAAGCTGATACCTTATATTATTTTTATCATCCAGAGATTAATTGTTATTTCAAAAATCTCAGTTTACTAATTATTTTTCTGTCTTTTATATATTTTGAATAGTTTTCCTTCTTTATTTTCTAATGTCTGCTACTTTTCATTGATCTTGGATGCTGTAGTAATTTTTAAATAATCTTATCTGCAAATTGATTTTACAAATAAAACCTAGGAAATAGAAAGGCATTACTTAACATTACAAATTAAGTTGGTAGCTGGCGGGAACTAGTTCATCGCTATAACTAATCAGTATTGGTTTGTATGACGTACGTTTACATCATTTAGTCAACACATTTAAATAAATAATAATAAAAAATTTCATTTCGGTTAGTAACAATATTGTATTTTTTTAATTTATTGATTACATTCATTAAAAATCTTATCGGTAACAATATGAAAACTAAATGTAAACACTAATGCTGCTTGGAAGCATGTGGTAAACAAAAAAGGCATACAGAATGTCAACATTCTCGTCCTTCTCCGCTTAAATATTCAATTGAACAACTTGTATATTCTTCAAAGCATCCTTGTAGTTGGCTAAAACACCTTCAACTTCCTCACTAACAAATTCGCTAACTTGATCACTGGCACGGCCAGTAAATGTTGTGGGATCCAAAATTGTATCCAAGTGATCGAGGATGGGAGCAAAGTAAGGATCTTTACGCACACGTTCCACCAAATCGTTATCTTTTCCATGTTGCTTGACTTGGGCACCGGCTTCTTGTGAGAGTACACGAATCTTTTCATGGCAAACTTGGCGATCACCACCGGCCTTTACCATAGCCATAATAATGTTTTCGGTTGACATGAAAGGTAATTCCTGAGCAATGTGACGTTCAATTACCTTGGGGTAAACAACCATGCCTTGAGAAATATTCAACAAAGTCAATAGGGCAGCATCAGCTGATAGGAAAGCTTCCGACAATGTTAACCGACGATTGGCCGAGTCATCTAAAGTACGTTCCAACCATTGGGTGGCATGTGTATTGGCGGCATTGGAAAAGAGAGTTATCATATGCCTAGCCAGGGCACAACAACGTTCTGAACGCATGGGATTGCGTTTGTAAGCCATAGCCGATGAACCAATTTGTGTGCTTTCAAATGGTTCTTCCATTTCTTTGCGTGATGCCAAAATTCTCAAATCCGAACACATTTTGTGAATGGTGGTGCCCAAACTGGAGATTGCGGCAATAATATCCACATCTACTTTACGTGAGTAGGTTTGACCAGTTACGCCATATGGTTTTTCAAAACCAGCCAATTTTGTAACCTTCAAATCCAATTCCTTCACCTTGCCACTGTCACCGTTGAAAAGTTGCAAAAAGGAAGCCTGAGTTCCAGTAGTACCCTTAACGCCACGGCAACGTAAATCCTCACGACAGCGACGCAAAGCACGCTCATCCATCAACAAATCTTGTATCCATAGACAGGCTCTCTTGCCGACTGTGGTCAATTGGGCTGGCTGCAGATGTGTAAAACCCAATGTGGGTTGTGATTTGTACTTTAGAGCAAATTCTTTGAGGCAATAAATCACAGAGGCAATACGGGGCAACAGTAAATCCAAGGCATCACGTAAAATAATAAGATCCGTATTGTCACCAACATAACACGAGGTTGCTCCCAAATGAATAATTGGTGCAGCCAATGGACATTGTTTGGCAAATACATGAACATGAGCCATAACATCGTGACGGGTTAAACGTTCTTCGGCGGCTGCTGCCTCAAAGTCAACATTATTAATGTTGGCTTTCATCTCGGCAATTTGGGCATCGGTTATCTCCAATCCCAAACTCTAAAAAAGTAAATGAATAAGTTGCGATTTAATTTGCTATTATTTTAAACCAAAACACACAAACAAACCAAAAATGCCGAAACATACGTGAGAGGCAAAAACAATTTTTTAGTAATGAAATGATGGTGAAGCATGTTGTGTACAAGAACAATATGTAATAATCGAATTATTTTTTACAAGCAATAATTATAATGGAAAAGTATTCTATAATGCAGAAAATTATACAATAAATAATGTTAAGCAAAAAAATTAACTTAACACTTTAAGAGTTTGTGACATTGAGTATATCATGGAGAGTATACGGGGTACTTGGATAATATGGAAAATTTAAAAAAAAGGAGTTAAGTTCGGAAGAGCCAAACATTTTGAACCCTCCACCAATAGAAAAAATATGTATGACTATATCTCGATATTTGCACCGCATTTGTTTCTGAAGAACTAAAGCGAGAACAAAACCTGAAGTAAACCATCCAAGTGCCGAATATGGGATGGTTATTTTTCCAGTGTCATTGTTTGCTTTTTCAAATATTTGTAATAATATGAAAAAGTGGGCCTACATAGATAATTTGTTGCAAACTGCTTTGGTGTCTATTACATATATTGTCCAATCGTTTTTATCGAAGGAAGTATAAATAGTGGTGGAATAGAGGGAATATACAAATAGAAAATGGGAAGATTGTAGATGTGTTTTAATAGTTTAGTTTACCTAACCAAGAGATTATTTTAGGACACCTATAGGTGATAGTTGGATCCATGTCTGCGAAGAATGTACGAATTCCTATTTCCCTCTTGTCGAATAGCATTCTTTTCTTCTCCGACAACCTGGGTTATCTGATGGTTACAATTATCTCTACCTCTTCTTCATTCTTACATGGTCAGGGCCATTGTTATCCCATGTTGAGGTCAGATATCTACAATTTGGTAGAAGGGAAAAGGTTATTCTTCTTATCGAGATTGTCAGGCATTACCTTAATAAAGTTTAATGAAGTTTCATATTTTCAAGAGGATTTTAGCGATCAAGAATGGCTCTCGATTTGATGACAATTGATTTGACAGTTTAAGATCCACCACTATCAACAGATATGGACAATGGTCCGGTTATTTTCACTAAGTTCTCTTACTATTTCGACTATCTCCTTGATTGCAATATTCTATGCCTGTAAAACGCTACAATTACAAATTGAAATAAACTGAAGGTGATTGATAACAGAATGTAGTATGCCTATATGTTACCCTGGTAAACGGCCCACATTTCTGCTACAGACTTAGGTGCAGAGGTAAACCCTACTAAAACCATTTGATTTAAACACCTGTTGCGCAAACTAAATTACAATTGACTATTATTACATGTGCCTACCACAATTCAACACAGAACAAATGATAACATCTCGCTTCTACCAATACTTAAAGCATGCTCCAGCAGAATTTCCTGTTAAATAATTAGCAATCCAATAGAAGCATGCATAAACACGCACATGATATTTATGATATTTCCAATATTACATACATATATACAAAGAAACAAACAAAAAAAACTGGACAAGAACAATTACCTTTTCTGCCTCGGCTAACCATACCCACAATTGACGCCATGTGGAAAACTTTTTCTGGTCACTAAAAAGATATTGCATCTCTTTGCTGGCATAGCGAGTGCTCAGCGGCGATTTATAACCTTCATAGACGTTGGTGCTCATGTTTCGGCAATTTTATTTCTATTGTATTGCAAGAACCCGAATAATACACTGTTGGAAAAACACACGCGTATCAATTGAATGCGAAACAATGATTAAAATGCAATTCTAATTAACTTTTCCAAGCTAAATTTTCACCGGCCAACAAAATGTGATAAGAACCCGCAGAGAAACAAGTTTGATTTGCTGGAGAGCACATGAACAAAAAACAACACAAAATGAAATTAACTGAACATACCCCAAAGAGAACATGAGAAATAGAAACAGCTGTTGGCTGTTGCGTTGTCATCAACTAAACACACCTCACTAGGCAAAGTGTAAATACGGCCAGGCTTTCTAATTTGAAGTAACGTTGAGTGACAGAGGAAGGAAATGTAAAATTTAGAAAATTTCTGTTTTATTTAATTTAAATACAAATACATCAAATGTCGTTGGAATATGCCGATAATTGAGCAAAAATGCGCAAACAAACTTTACCGGTAAGTTAAGTGAGCAACAATAATAGCAACTATTTGAAGGGTGTTTCTAGCCTCTTTTAAGGAAGGTTCGGAAGAAGTTTTTATGAATTAACCATTTAATTCGATACTGGTATATTGTAAATTAGACCAACAAAACTTCTGAAAATATTAAACCATTATTTTACGCAGGTATATTTAGAAGGGATAATTTAGAAGGGATAAGGACATTGTTAAAACGAGTTGCAAGCAAAAATAAGAACTGTCGGTAGAGCCCACATTCATAAAGTTAAGAATACATAGAAGGACTTTGTTCTGGCATAAGCCACCGTCTTTATGTTCTGTACAATTTTTGTGCAGACTTCTCAACAACAGCCTCTTGAAACTTTTTCAAATTTGATTTGGTAATTTTAGAATAGAAAAGTTTTCGATTTAATTTATTCCATTATTGTTAAAGTTTTAATTATTACTTTTCTGAATGTTCACACTTATGTCTTTCGAGGACATTGAATGATAGTTGCGTTCCATAGTTGCGACGTCTGAGGACTTTTAGTGATCAAAGAATGTATTTTTTTGTGATATATCCTTAAAAAAATGGGTTAGTCGTTTGATTTGTAAGTAGTTACGGCTTACCAAAATTATTTGGGAAACCCATTATTTGATAATGGAAGTTCTTGATAGGAACTATAAAAAAGAACAGGACTTACATTGATCTTCAGCAAATAGTGCACATGAAAACCAAAAAGTTTCGGATTTTGGCATTGTTTTGTTAGGGGACAAAACAAAAGGTACCAGTATAACAGCTATTTATGTATAGAATGGGATTAAGCTATTTATGTATAGTTGGGTCTAAATTCCAAATTGGAATATTTAAGGTTATCCTTATTTATTTTCATTGTAAGACAATATATTGTTGTAAATAAACCAACTCTTATATCGTGTTAACTTGCGTTTTTTTAAATAATTACTAGTTATCTCTAGATAAAAAATCAAAATTTTCTATAACATGTGGTTAATAACAAGTTTGTTTTTGCTCTTGTTTTTAAAGGTGCTGTCGCAGATATCCAGTGTACAATTGTTTATACATTTTTTTTTTACAAAGTGAAAGGTATGTACATTCAAGTTGTTCATATTTAATATTACAATCGTACATATAAGCATATTTGTAGACTTGCAAAGAAATTGACAGGTATTGAGCATAAATTTTAATAAATTCAATAGTAATTATGAAAATCGAACGAAAACTATAAGGTATGCATTGTGTGCGCATAGAAATGTTGTAAATTTAAGTAAATGCAATTATTACGGAAGTCAGATCGCAAAAGGCATTGAAAATTGTTATAACTACAGTAAAATCTAGCAAGAAATCAGCTGTTTTGCAAAAAAATAATGCGTTACAAATATAAATTGTTGAATAATCGAATAAAAACTAGTGACAAGTTCAATGGTATAATACAATGTGGAATGCTATTTATCTGAAGAAATACCTTAAAATAATAAGATTATTTCCTCAAGAGTTAAAGATTTTCATCCATGCAACAAAACAACTGAACTTAAAATAATAAGATTTAAGGATTTAAATATTTTCACCAATGCATCAAAACAACAGATGATGATGCAGGATAAGTTATACTGACAACCTTCCCCCAATAAATATTTGCAAACTCTCGGTAACTGTCAAAATTGCTCTCCTTACTCGCACACATTTACAGGACTTTTGATCTATCGAACAAAATGTCATATTAATTTGTACAAATTGTCCTTTATCATTGTGAAAAATATTTTAGAAGTTTTTATACCCTACACCACATAGTGGGTTTGTAACATGGAGAAGGAAGCGAGATAGACCCATAGTTACTTTTGAGGATCTTCATAGAATCACTTTCTCAGTCCATTTATGCATGTCAGTCCATCTGCCCGTCCATGTATTCTTGCAAAAATGCAGGTCGCATTTATTATCTGATTGGGAAGAAATTTTGCAAATAATATTTTTTTGCTCCAAGGACGAACCCTATTGAAATTGGTGATAATCGGATCATATTTAGATAGAGCTCACATATATCTTCAACCGATTTCAGGTTAATTGTGCACGAAATGGTTAATATAAGTCCAAATGACCTGTATTTTGGTACATCTCACCGAATTCAGCCTAAAAGCAAGTAAATCAAATTTGGTGAAAATCGGTTTAGATATAGCTATAGCTCTCATATGTATATTTCATCCGATTTGGGGCTTAAGGTCCCTCACATGCACTCTAGAAGAATTATATTTGGTACCGGACATCAGATACTGCTCGAAAATACCCCTATCAAAATTTTATGGAGATCGGTTCAGATTGGTATTCAGCTCTCATATATATCTTTACCCGAAAGTTATATTGTGCTCCAAATGGCCCAAATGAACTGAATTTTGGCAACTACGACTGAATTCATCTTATAAACCAGTTCTTCAAATTTGGTGTAAATCAGTTCAGATATAGCTATAGCTCCCATATATATGTTTCACCCGATTCGGTGTTTAAGTCCCTCACATTCGTAATATGCATTCGATACCAATGATGTTTGGTACCAGTTATCAGATACAGAAAAATTTAATCAATATCGGTTCAGATTTGAATATAGCTCCCAAATATATCTTCAACCGATTTCGGGTTAATTGTGGACCAATTGGCCAATATCAGTCCAAATGTCATAAATTTTGGTACATCCGACCGAATTCAATCTAGAAAAAAGTACATCAAATTTGGTAAAAACCGGATCAAATATAGCTATAGCTCCCATACATATATTTCACCCGATTCGGTGTTTAAGTCCCTCATATTCGTAATATGCATTCGACAACAATAATATTTGGTACCAGATATCTTATAGAGCTCGGAAATACCTTTGCCAAATTTTATCGGTTCAGATTTGGATATGTGAACTATATATTCTTAATCCTATTTCGGGTTTATTGTGCAAATAATGGCTTATATCAGCCCAAACGGACTGAAATCAGATATAGCTCCCATATATATGTTTCATCCGATTTGGTGTTTAAGTCCCTCACATTCGTAATATGCATTCGACAACAACGATATTTGGTACCAGATAACGTATAGAGCTCGGAAATACCTTTTCCAAATTTTATCGAAAACGTCTAATATTTGGATATAGCAGATAATGGCTAATATCAACCCAAATAGAGTTAATTTCGGGACGTACGTTTCCATTTTGTGGAACCCGGCTTCGATATATATTTTTTTAATATAATCCTTCTCGAAGTGATATCATGCTATGGAGTGCAAACTATAACTGCTCTGAAGCCAAATGTTGATAGGTGGTATGTTCTACTTCAAATAAATTCCTTTCTTGCGGGAGTTCTACTAAGTATGCATAGTGGTGTAGGGTATCATATAGTCGGTCCCGCCCAACTTTTGACTTTTCCTTCTACTTCTACTACTTCAGGGTGACAAGAGTAGTCAGTTTTTGTCTTAAATACCTCATTATTGACAAGAGAGAAAAGAAAATGCTCTCAATTTAAATCATTTGTAATACTCATATTAATCAAATCAATCCAAAGATTTATGTGTTATCGATTACAATTTTTATTTGTGTCATAAATATGGATTGGCCAGCTGGTCCAGTCCAACCCACTTCATCTTTGATGGTTAACATCTGGCCGAATTGCAAATTACTCCGATATTGGATTTCTTTTTTTACACTTGCAAAATAAACTAAAACCTGAAATTTCAAAATATACTCTCCTACTCCTTGCCAAGAAAAAAAAAAACAAACGTGAAACAAATTAATTTTATGCTATGGTCAATTTCATACATTGATTTTTCATTACATCACTTTTATTGAGATAAAAATGTATGTTAGCATTTCCAGTTAATGAAAGTTGTAATTATGTTGAGAAGGCTTGACTTTATGCATATTTCTGGCATCTGGAAAAAAATGCCTAGACATGAAATATTGATACATGTGTTTCCTACCAGTCATGCAAGTGTTACATTTACCTCATAGACTTGGCACTTGAAAGTGAGGTGTAATGGGAAAAAAGTATTAATCTTTTTGTACTATCTATGATATTAACAGTAGCGAAAAGAAAAGATTACAAGTTATGCTGAAAAATATTTAAATGGGAAATAATTTTGAAAATGAAAAAACACTTTGCTTCAAACAAACAGCATTCAAGGTGGATACAAATATTCACCATATCTACAGGAGGTCTAGTAAAGATCTTTTATTAAGAAATAAATATTGAGGAACTCTAAGTAAGACTGTAGAAGAGGGAAGATCGGTAGTTAAATTTTTTCCATGTAACCTAGACCGGCTTCCATAAAAAAGGTGAAACTTTGATCTAATTGTGTGTAAGGAACTAATGTTGTGGTAGGGAAATCCTAGGGTAAACCAGAGGGCCTTGAATTCTCTCTTCATAATTTCCAGTATTTATATAAAAAACATGTCTCGTATTTATATCCGTCGTTATTTCGAATTTAACTATCTGGTCCATTGTCTTTGAACTAAAAAGGTCTCTGTCGTTCAAAATACTCTTAGCTATAAATAAGTTGCATTGTCAGGAATACCATGGTTTCGGAAAGAGCGTTAATCCTAGTCAAGAGTTATTCAAAAGAGCTATTCAAAAAAAAAAAACCCGTAAGGAAAAGTCAAACAATGTAATACCCTACACCACTATATATATTTAGTAGAGCTCCCGTAACAAAAGAATTTATTTCAAGTAGATCATACCACCTATCAACATTCGGCTTCAGGGCAAATCGGAATTAAGCATATATTTATGTGAGGGATTTAAACGCCAAATCTGAAGAAAGATATATATAGGAACTCTAGCTATATCTAAATCAATTTTCTCCAAATTTAATGTACTTGCTTCTAGACTAAATTCTGTTGGATGTACCAAAATTCAGGGCATTTTAACAGATATTGGCCATTTGGTGCACAATCCTATATCCTAATCTGAACCGATCTTGATAAAATTTGGGAGAGGTATTTTTTAACTGCATCTGACAACTGGTACCAAACATCATTGTTGTCGAATGCATATTTCGAATGTTAGGGACGTAAACACCAAATCAGATGGAACATATATATCGGAGCTATAGCTATATCTGAACCGGTTTTATACCCTCCACCATACTATGGAGGGTATATTAATTTTGTCATTCCGTTTGTAACTCCTCGAAATACTCATGTCAGACCCAACAAAGTATATATATTCTTGATCAGCGTAAAATTCTAAGACGATTTAGCCATGTCCGTCTGTCTGTCTGTCTGTTGTAATCACGCTATCTTTCGAACAAATTGAGATAGAAGGCTAAAATTTTGCACACATGTATATTTTGCCAGTAGGCAGGTTAAGTTCGTAAATGGGCCATGTAGGTCCAAGTTATCATATAGCCCCCATATAACGGTACCTCCCGATATTCGGTATTTTGATGATTTTAGCGACATTATTCGCCGGAATAATGTCGCCACGTTTATGGTCCTTTAAAAAATCTTTAAAAAATCTTTAAAAAATCCACGTTTATGGTCCTTTAAAAAATCTTTAAAAAATCCACGTTTATGGTCCTTTAAAAAATCTTTAAAAAATCCACGTTTATGGTCCTTTAAAAAATCTTTAAAAAATCTTTAAAAAATCCACGTTTATGGTCCTTTAAAAAATCTTTAAAAAATCCACGTTTATGGTCCTTTAAAAAATCTTTAAAAAATCCACGTTTATGGTCCTTTAAAAAACCTTTAAAAAATCCACGTTTATGGTCCTTTAAAAAATCTTTAAAAAATCCACGTTTATGGTCCTTTAAAAAATCTTTAAAAAATCCACGTTTATGGTCCTTTAAAAAATCTTTAAAAAATCCACGTTTATGGTCCTTTAAAAAATCTTTAAAAAATCCACGTTTATGGTCCTTTAAAAAATCTTTAAAAAATCCACGTTTATGGTCTTTTAAAAAATCTTTAAAAAATCCACGTTTATGGTCCTTTAAAAAATCTTTAAAAAATCCACGTTTATGGTCTTTTAAAAAATCTTTAAAAAATCCACGTTTATGGTCCTTTAAAAAATCTTTAAAAAATCCACGTTTATGGTCCTTTAAAAAAATCTTTAAAA